ACATAAAATGTAGAACAGGGATGTTAGAATAAGGTTAGCTATTATATTTTCATACATAACTAGCAATATGTCTTATATATTGCATGTATCTTGAATATTAAGGAATTTCATTGCCTTTAGTTACCATGACTGTTTTTTAACACTGACAACCTGCTCTAGCACAGGCTTGTTTACTGACCCAGAGCTAGTGTTCCTGTGGGCTAGCGTAATAAAATTTATAAATAATGCAAGTAATTAGAATACAGTTTCTGTTCTCTTCCCTCCATAAAGTTGTCAGTACTAGCAGGAGTGTAGACCACTGTGTTTAAGCAAAACACTCTTTTACCCTTGCGTTATCATTTGGCCTTGAAAAGCCACCGCTGCTTGCAGTGAGTAACTTCATAAATTATGGCTATGACCTGTGCCTTACATGTGCTGAGAGCTAGAGAATGGAGACCAAAACGTGGTGCTATGAATTTGTATTCAACTCTCTTTATTAAAAAGCTACGTGTAAAGTTGTGCCTGTAGCACAGGCGAAGAGAAAACATTTTTAGCTTATTTTTAATAACCCAGTAAACATTTCCCTGCTAAGATGCTGAGAGTGTTGCTCTTGTTTCAGTTTCAGTGTTTATTTTTCCTCAGTATCAATCGTTTAAATGCAGATAATATCTGTAAATCACTATTCTGTTATTTTAAAAGGCAATCTTTTTTTCTGAAGCCAGAAAAAAAGCGATTGAGTTTATTGGCCTTTTGGTTGCAGTTCAGCTGTAGTTAAACAGAAAAGCTTATTTTATATATTGAAGTTCTTAAGGAAAGTAATGAAAGTAACTTTTTATCGTTTTAGGTTTTCAACAAGTTGTTGAGTCTGGCCAGCACTGCTTCGTCTCAGAAGTTCCAGTCGCACATGTGGAGTCAGATGTTGGTTTCCACATCTGGGTTTTTGAAATCTATCTCAAATGTCTCTGGCAAAGACATCCAACCTTTAATAAAGCAATGGGTGTATCCTTTTTATTCTTGGTCTGGTTTGTTAATACGGAGAATGAATTTGTTTTCTTTTAATTGGCACTGTTAAAGGAATGTGAAGAAAGATAGGAAATACTTCTGCTTTAAACTGTTAAGTACATTGTTCTTTAAATCAGAAATAGGAGTGTGAACCTCAGGCTCATAACTTTCTTAGTCATTTAGAGTGTACAGACTTTTTGGGTGTCCTTTACTAGAAGGGGTGGCTATGTTTTTTAAATTTTACTTTGAAAGATGCACAAGAACTCTGGTGGAAATTAAGGCCAAATTATACTAAAGCGATCCAGAGGACACTGCCCGAAAAATATGCTGAAGTCTGACATGGAAAATGCTATAGTCTGGTGCATTTTCAGATGTGATTTCCAGTAAATCGCTCTGAAATAAGTAATGTAAGATCACTGATAATTTAAAATATGCTAACACTTAATATATTGCTTGCTAGTATGCATTAGTATTAAAATTTTAAATAAAATAAACATGACTACAGGTGAAGTCATACATAACTGCAGCAAAACCACTTTAACAACAAATAGAATTAGATGTATGTATTCAGGCTTATGTGTTTGAAATTATTTTGCCATAAATAACACTCTAACTTCTCAGTATCTGGGTTAACAATCACTCTAAAATTAGTATTTAGAAATAATGTAGCATGTTAGTATATCTGTATCTAAATACCAATGCCCATTAGCTCTTTCATATATCACATTGTTTGTTCTAATCACCATACTTAGCAGGGCAAAGCACTTGGAAAATAGTGGAGTTTTATCTGTACAGGAGCACTCTGTTGAAATACCTCGTGGCAAAGTCAAAGCCTTCAGTAAATGCAGCCACTCTGAACAGAACCAGTCTGTCTGCCTAAAACCCATATTTTGGCAGAACAGTTACCTGAGAATGTTGTTTGGAGTGGCCACTCTTCCATTAAATGTCAGGACATTAAAATAAAAAGGCTTTCCTTCCCTGCTTTTGTCAAGTTAATGTCTTACACAAGTTAACGTTAATGAATTCCACCGGATTTTATTTAGCTGAAATATATCAGAATTACCTGAGACACTTCTCTTAATGACTTTCTTCTTTATAGATGATTTTTATTGTGCTTCGCATATTCAACAGAATATCTGTTTTTTTAATGTGTTTTGTGAATGTATGTGTAAAAACTATATTTGAAAAATAATGAAAAAGTTCTCTCAGGACAGTACTTACAACTCTGACGTGACTGCAGGAAACGTAGTCGTTTTGATTCCTGATTCTCTTGAAACAAGAAGTTCTAAGAATGAACAAACATAAAGCAAATGTAAAAAGTGAAAGTTGTGTTTGATTATGACTACTGTATCATGCTGTAGAATTCCTATACATCTTCTTAGCGATCAGAGTGGAGTGGTAAAATTTTATGGTAGCTTTGCATTTAATAGAAAACGGAACGTATTGGAATTGGAAATAAAGCAAGATTACACATCTCCTGGGACTCAGAAATATGTGGTAAGGTCAACTTTCCATATTTTACATAGATTTGAGTATGAGTTGGCGTTAATAAACATGATTTTTAATACTAATAATATAATCTCTTGAACATTAAGGGTCCTCTTAAAGTGACAGTGCAAGAACTTGATGGATCGTTCAACCATACGTTGCAGATTGAAGAAAATAGTCTTAAACATGATATACCTTGCCATTCTAAAAGTAGAAGGTAAGAATTAGTATATGAACTGAATACATATGAGTGCAAATATATGAAAAGCTGCAGTACATTGATAGATATCTGCTTTTTAACATTTGTAATTCTATTTTTGTAATTCTGTTTAATAAGACTTACCTGTAATGTATGGAAAGAAAAAGACACAGAGAAGACTTTTGCTAGTTGAACTCTGTTTATGTCGGTATGTAATTTTCTAATTTTTTTTTAATAGAAATAAGAAGAAAAAGATTCCACTGATGAATGGAGAAGAGGTGGACATGGACCTTTCTGCCATGGAGTAAGTTTGCTGGAGTCTTACCAATGTACATTTTGATTGTCTCAAGCATGATATTGTGAAGGATTTGATAGTAACATTTTGCTTCATTATATAGTTGGCAAATTTCAGGACTAGACTGCTTTTCTTTACCTTAATCGAAACTTTCTTTCTGTAGCTGGGAAAACACTGGTGTAGTGCAAAATGTATGGGTTAATTGCTGAAAAGAGTTTTTTTCTGGAAAAAAGAGGAGTTAGTTGTGGGTGAAATAATGTGTCCTGATTTATTCATACACATTTCTAATGCTATCTTTGGGGTTACTTTATAGATAAAATGTAACCAAGTCCTTATAAAGGTGTGTTGGCTGCATTTTTTGTCTTGCCATAGAATTTGCTTAGGATTAATTCAGATCAAATTTGTTGGATGTCAGTGATAGCTGTTGAACTAACATTGTGATAGACAAGTTCCTCAGATTTGAGATTTAACCTAACAATGTGTAAGTGTTTTGGACTGAAATTTGTATGCTGAAGAGTTGTTGTTGTTGGCATTGATTTCAGTTGAAACTGGAACACCCATTTTACCCTCCGAGAGTTGCAACTAGTGTTGCTCTCAGAAATCCTTATCTCGCCTATTAATATGACCAGAAATAGATATTTTCATTGAGGATTCTATATTTATCATTTCTAACTTAAAAGTCTGTATGAATAAATTCATCCTTCATTATATTCTATTCTCTAGATCCCTTCAATGTGTGCTTCTTTTCATTATCCTTTCTTTTCTAGCAGCTATCCTGATAATAATTTCAGATATTCTACAAATGTAAATAGAAACAGGTGTCATGCTATAAAGATGCTCTCTTGGATAAACTTTCCTCGTTCCCTCTTCTGACCTGGTTCAGAGTCCAGGATCGATTTTAGCATGGCAAACTCTGTGGAAGAGAGGCTCTTAGTAGTTTTAATTCATATTTGCTGCTTCCATAAAAGATTTGTGCACAAATATGAGTAATAATGTGTAAAAGATTTCTTTTGTTTGGAGTACCTCTACCTTTGGGACTGTTAAAACTTTAATGGTCTGTTTCACCTTTAGGTTACTGCTTTAAGTCCTGTCCATGAATACATTCAGTTTACAGTCATTTGGCTTGACAATACCTAGCAAATATGTGAATCACCTTGTCAACTTTCCGTACATGTGTTTGTAAAGCAGATTTGTTGCTGAAAATCAGTATACAAATACCTAGCTAATTTCCACCAGACTTTCTCTGTTAGGTATTTTTCTTCTGGTAGTTTTAAACTGTAGCAGATGATCAAGTTCTACTTTACTGTGGAAGTTATGGTGTCTGAGGGTCAGACTCAACTTGAGAGGTTGCAGAATTGGAGAATAGGAGGGTCCTCATTTTGTAGAAAACCTTTGAAAATCCCTTCCAACCTTACCTTGTTTGTGATTCTTTGGCTCTCTGTATTGTAAGTATAATAAAAAGTCAGAATATGTTTTAAATTTCTGTAGTCTTGCAATGCTGTAAGTCACCCTTAACGTTTTTCATGTCTGTTGTAGTGCTGACTCCCCTTTGCTCTGGATAAGAATAGATCCTGATATGTCAGTCCTGAGGAAGGTTGAATTTGAGCAGTCTGATTTCATGTGGCAGTATCAGCTTCGCTATGAGAGAGATGTGGTGGCCCAGGAAGAAGCCATCCTGGCATTGGAAAAATTCCCCACTCCGGCATCACGGCTTGCGCTGACCGATATCCTAGAACAAGAGCAGTGCTTCTACCGAGTGAGAATGCTGGCCTGTTTCTGCCTTGCAAAGGTGAGAATAAGTAGAGGAAATAATGAAAGAAATCTGCTAGACACTGCAAGTATTTGAAAAAGAGTCAAAACTCACCACAGTCCTTAAAATTGGCTTGATATTTGGCCTCTGAAAAGTGTTTGCCAAGTATTTTTTAACATGATTGATTTGAAGAGAGAGCTGTATTATTTTAGTCTGTAAATGGAGACTGCAGAACGCTTCCATAATTGTCAAAATTGAGATGTCAGACATGAAAACCACAAGGGATTTTTCCAGATTAAATGGCAGAAATAAAAGACTTTTGTTTAATTTTTTCATAGCAAAATGTTTCTTTTAATTTTGGGGGGGAAATTTCTTGGCCTTTGTTTTGAGGAAGTTGAAGTGGTAAAACTTATCTGTCTAATATGAGTTCTTATTGCTGCTCAGTGGTGTAGAGGGAGAAATTAAATGTAATATTCTTAATGTGAACATTAAGAAACCAAATTGTTGCCTTCCTTGAAGAAAGAAGATTGCGTAGACAAAATTAGTATTAAAAAGTAAAACTAGAATTCCTTATAGAACTACTGGATGGAAACAAAAGAATAAATGGTTAAGACGTTTCAGAAAGGCGTGTTCAAATAGGAATGCTTTTGGCAGTTATAGAGTTCCTATTATTAGTATAAAGCTTGATTTCTTACCTGTGCTACTTCAGAATAACTTAATATATTTATGGAAGTATATCTTTTGGGCATATTTTGAAATTCAAAATCCAAGGTATGCTTGCAACAATCAATTGTAACATTACAAAACTATGACATAATAGTGTCAAGTGTGTTTACTAGTATTGATAGTGCCAGTTTCTGCTAAAAATGTGTATTCATAAGGACTTCATTCAGAAGATGTAAAAATCCAGGTACCTGTCAAAAGTGAATATTAAAACAATAGTTGTTACAGTGTCTTAAAATTATTTATTTATTTATTTTCTTGTCTTTCCTCTTAATACTCAGACAGTTTGACTGCTTGTAATCATAACCAGGTTTACTCAGTGTAATCACATAAAGGAAACTTGGGTTTGTGGATCAACCACTAGCTGGATTTGTAAAACATTATGGTCTGTCTGTTTAGGTACAGAGAAATAATTGATGGTACCCTACGGAGAAACTTCATTTATTGAATATGCTGTGTAATTTGTTACTACTTGTACATAATAAAGTACTTCAGTCTCTTGGGAATAAAGTAGTCAGATAACACATTAATTCTCAGTGATAAGGAAGTTCATACATATATAAATGAATATTTTGTGAGATGTAATGTTCATATAGCTCATATAAACTATAATGTGGTTATCCGGTATCCAAATGGTGAAATATATGATGTGCAGACATACACAGGTATGTACAGACACACAGTGTTTGCTGTGTTCATAACAAATGCCTCTGAAGAGAAAAGTGAAGATAGTCGTGTTAGGGAATTAATTTTCATGAGATTTTCATGAGGTTTGAAAGCTGATTTTCGATCTGTAGAGGTTCTTCTCTACAGATACAGTGTACAGTCTCTACAGCGGTTTTGTGCCTTACAGAAATAGCTATATTGACATATTTAGTTACAAGACTTGGCTTCTTGCAAAGGGAACATCTAGTCTGACTGCACCATTTGCTCCCTCCAACTTTCCTTTGAGAAGAGATGCAAGGAGAAAGTGGCTTTCATGAGAAAGTTCCCACCTTGTGTGAAAAAGACAGTGAAATCGGTAGCTGCCATGTTCAGATAGTCTCTTTTTTTGCTTTATGATATATGCAGTGTTCTTTGAAACAAGCTAGAGCATTTTATGAAGAATTCAACTGTATTTTCTTCTGCAATATTGTGTGAATATAGTACTAAGTTTCTGGAGGGTCTGTAAGAGTGGAATTTCTACATTATTGCTAGGTTGTAGAATGCATTGGCTACATTTGTGTATATGTACATGCACATGGTCTGTCACAAGACACATGTATTCTTTTCCACACAGTTTTATTATCATCCCATACAATAAATACCCCAAACCAGGATGTTGGACAGGCCCTATACCAATTTTATCCTTAGAGAGTCTTACTTCCTTACTCCAAAGCAGACTGTAGCAATAAACTGTTCTTATTGTGCAGTCTGTTTGTGAATCATGGTTAAAGTCAGAGAGGTGGTTGACTTGCCTTTTACTTTAGGGGTGGTCTTTTACTCCTAGGGTGGCTCAAGTCTAGTTGAAATCCAGGTTGAGGTTATTGGCAGGGTACATTTGGGTGGCTGCTGTTGCAAATGCCTCTTCCACCATTACTGTCTGTGAAGTCAGAATCCTTGGCTTAATAAACATCAAATATTTGCCTAATACATAAAAGGGAAAATTAAGAACAGAAATTTATCATGGAAAGATAATAAGTTGCAGATGTCCTTCAAGTGAAACCATTTTCATAAAGTTTGCCTTCAATGGGTAGAATGGATGTGAGGGATGGCAGTGGGAGCTAAGCTAATAAAAGATAATATATTGATGAAAATATGTATCTATTTGAAGAGCAGGACATCCTCTGCAATTACCTTTTTATTATGGGAAATGTGTGTTTTTGTTCAGCCAAACTAAACCTGCACTGGTGATGTTAATACGGCTTCCCTTCCACCCTAATTATATAGATTGCAAATTCCATGGTGAGTACGTGGACAGGACCACCAGCCATGAAGTCACTTTTTACCCGAATGTTTTGCTGTAAGACTTGTCCAAACATTGTGAAGACCAACAACTTCATGAACTTTCAAAGCTACTTTCTGCAAAAGGTAAATTCATATTTCATTTTATTTTTTAAAGAAATGTGAAAATACAATTTTTCTAAAGATGACAATCACTGAAAGACTGATAGCATGATCGCTTTATCTCTTTATAAAAATCCAGAATAACCAACTCTTATTCAGCTTCTGTTTGTTCCATCATTGTCAAAAGTTAGTTTACTAAAGTTTTTAATACTTTTTTTTTCTGAGTAGCTGAAGTTAAAGTAGCCATCTGCTACTTATTTGCAAATATTCTTGAGCTAATTCTTAAGTAGAATCTATTGTAACAAGGCTAACCTTTTGCTTCTTTAGTTGAATTTGTCAGATGGTCTTTAAGTTCATTAATGGCATTGATCTCATTATGGAAACAATTTTGTAAATCTAATCATCAGGCGATGGGCTTTTTCAAGGTTAAAGGCACTGCATAAT